GGAGAAAAAGAAGGAGAAAGAAAAAGAAAAAGAGAAAGAGAAAGTGAAAGAGAAAGAGAAGAAAGAAAAAGAAAAAGAAAAAGAAGAAGAAAAAGGGAAAGAAAAAGAAAAAAGAAGAAGAAAGCAATCTTTGGGATAGTCTTTAAAATCTTCAGTCATCTTTACTTTTTTGTCAGTTTATTTCTGTTTTTCATTCCGGAGTCACTTTTTTGCTCAGGACATTTTTGCAATCACTTTTGTAAACTATCCAAAAGAATTCAGAAAACTTTAGATTTTAAGAATTGTGAGATGGCATAAAGAGCAGTAAGAGACCTTAAAGCAAACTGCAGCAGTGCACTGGTAAGAATTCTCACGGAAAGGCTGCCTGAGCAGCACAGCTGCAGTGCTGTTTGTCGCCTCTGACCACTCAAGGCAGTAAAATGTGTTCTTCAGGGAAGAGCCAATGCTCTGTGAAACACTCTCTGCAGTTGCAAGTGGAGACATATCCAAATGCCCACTCACTGGATCTACTAGATCTGGAAGTCTACCTTGGAAAAAAAGGAAAAACATTTCCTATATATCAGGAATTACCACTTGTTAGATTTGGATACTACCTGAGCAATCTACAAGCAGTTACTTTTTCAGCATACAAGTAATGGCTAATGAAGCCTGAGCTGCAGTTGCCTCTGCCTTATACAACACCGCTGTATTTCTGGAATCTGTTGCGGTTTCTGTTAATATCTGCACAGCCATCTCCTGTGCATGCGTGCATCCATCTTTAAGTATCTGTAAGCTGATGCTGACTACAAATGGAAAAGACTGCCATCTGAAAATTATGGAAAGTGCTGGGCAAATATGCCATTATGAACAGTCCTATGCTCCTGAACAGAAAAGTTGTCCAGACAAGTGGATATCTGACTCACAATTATTAAGGAAAACTTTGCAAACACCTTTATACTGAAGGGAGATAGAAAGCCCTCAAGTCTTTTCGTCAACCACAAAACTGGAGTTCTATAGTAACACCTTTTGAAAACATCAAAACACGGGGTATGCCAGATGGAATCAAATGCTGAAAGACAGGAATATTTTCTCTTCTACAGTAAAGTTACCCAATGACTGAAATATAGTGAAGCTGGCGCTGCTGGTAGTCAGAGATGTACCCCAGAGAACCTGCCATGGAGTGTGTTATCTCTGGGGCTTCCCAGATGCCATTTCCAAGCCAGTCCTTGCTGCTGGCCAGCCAGGGAGTCATTTCATAGATGGCACAGGACGTATCTCACCCTTCCTTCCCCACATAGCCTGTAATGGTGGACCTGCTTGGACGCAGTCCTGTGCCACATGCTCTAGGTGTGTGCAGGGGAGTTGGACTAGATGACCTCTAGAGGTCCCTTCCAACCTTAAGCATTCTATGGTTCTATGATTTGGAGTGGGTTTGGACTGTTCTGTCAGTTCTTAGCCTGCCTGTTTGGTGCTGCTAGGCGTAGGTTTGGAGATGAGGGAAGTACAGCTATGGGGATGTAAAGCCCCACAACAAGCCAAGTGGGTCACACACTTCATTATCCCAAAGACTCCCTTGCTGGGTTCTGCTGGAGACATGATCTTACACTGAGCAGACTCCACAGGAGAAGTCCCCTTCTCCAGCTTTTATATCCATGTTATTATCTGAAAACAACGTTTTTAAAAAAAATAAAACTCACCTGTCCTGAATCTGACGAGCATGTCAAAAATATATATGATATCAGAGCAATAGTCCAAGACCAGCCATAACCTAACATGGTCAATTTGTAGCTCATCAAAGCAGGCTCTAAAGAAACAAAGATAGTGCAAAATTTACACATGAGCAGAGCACTCAGAATGTATTTCCTAACAGCCTGTTAGTGCATGTCACTAGCACTGAACAGACCAAGGCAGTATGTCTCACACCTGCTAGTCTGCACACTGGAGCTATGTCTAAATAGACAGAAAAGATATTTAAGCTAGGAGCAAAACTTAAAACACGTATATGCAGCACAAGTGCACAGTGTAGCACAAGTGCACTTGTGGAGGGATGTACATATCCCTACATTTAAACATGCATCAGATTTCACGGGGAATACACCTAGGCACTTCCAGTCTTGCAAATACAAATAGGTCAGATAAAAAATCATATACATCATATATATTGGCTCAAACTGTGTTTTCCCCTCACTGTCCCACTGGTCTCTGTTTTCTTTACTGACCTGCCTTTTGAACAGCCATGTATATCTATACTGCATGGCTAAAGACATTTCTGCAAGGATGGTGACCAAGCCCCTGCTGAGTAAGACACATTCCTGCATGTAGCCAGTAGGTGGCACACAAAGGCCACTGCCAACACCCATGAGCTGCTTTTTGCAAGGTAAAATCAATTCATACACACACACACACAAAGAATTAAAAATAAAAATTGCCATCTATTTCCTCTGATATGTACATCATATAACCTTAAACATAACTATGTGAACTATAAAGCCTCTAGATAAGCCTCCCAAAAAATGCCACAGGGAGCTAAATTGATGATATATGTAAGAAACATCAATAAGACCCTTTACATTTGAAACCTAAAATTATTAGTAACTTAAATCCACACCTGCACACTATCATACACCAGTTATAGAACACAGGTGCTGCAATTATAGTCAGCCAGTTGTAGTACATGTTGCTTGAAGGATCTATTACAAAGATCTCTTTTTTCTTCCTGTAAAGTAAAACACACAGGTTACACTGGAACCGTAAGGACCCTTTGGATCTCCCTCTGCTGGAGGCTGCTCATCTCATGACTACCACACAGCTGCCTAAAAATGTGACAGAGTATCTATGCCAGCATCTCAAATTAAATATCAAATATCAGCCGAAAGATTCATCCCATTCAACACAATCTATTCCTATCTGATGCAACATTGGAAAAAAAAACACCAAGAGCAGAAAAAAAACCTAGGATTTTCAAATCACATTGGCCAAAAATACCACCATTTCAGCACATGGCCACCACTGAACAAGAAAACATTGAATGTTTCTCACTATAACTCCAGATAGAAGACTACAGTCCACAGCTAGACGAAATGTCTTCCCGTGAGGATTACTTTTGACATTTTTGGCAAATCCTTGTATTATTGAAATGACTGTGTGACCATGCATTTAAATAAGTTAAACACACATACTTGAACATTTGATTACACAAGCACAGCTGTGTGCGTACACATGCGCCCAGAAGTTATTCCAGTAGCAACATGTTAGTGTGATCTGTAAGCTGTGCAGTAGCAGGTGGAATATGTGGCTGAGCAACACTTGGGTATGTATTTGTGTGACTTTTCCCAATTTTCAGGAATGAAAATATTTTAAAATGTAAAGATTATATACTGCAGATTTGTGTGTATTTCTGGCACTGTCTTTGCCATCAGTTGAATATCAACCTAGGTGATAGTATTAATAAGGCAATCTTAACCTCAGAAGTACTTTGCTACTCTCACAATAGATTTTTAGCCTTTTCTTCTAATTCATCACCTGAAATGAAATATGGTCTTCATTTGATAATTCCATTGCCTTCTAGGCATTTTAAAAAACATTCATATTCCTTGCTGGAATGTTTTAAGTTGATTTAGGCTGATGTAAAGCTCAGGTTCTCATTACACAGTAATTGAAGCTGAACGAGAATCCTTAGAAAAAAAGGCTTTCAAATTCAAGCTTTGATTAAGAGAGAAAGCCAAGACCTGGAGATCAAGCAGACCCAATCTAGAAATGACTCCCAACTAATGTCTCTACATCTATATAGCACACACAACCATATACACAAACAGGCTTGCAATACACTCATCATTTAACCTACTCCTTAACTGTGAAGCCCAGGCAAATGCACTCGCTTTTCATCTATTGCCACTGTACATTTTTGTGATTGGTATACTAAGCCAAATTAGGCACATGTCAGATCTGTGAGGGCTAAATGAGACCATGATATATTTCTGTTAAGAGCATTTAAATGATTTCTTTTTTTTTCACAGAAATTCAATAGCTCTTAGTCATCATCAGCAAGCTTTACTATTCACTAGTAAATAATTGCACCCTAAGTAATCAGAAATGCTGCTCATGGTAAGGATTCACAGTAAGCAGGCATCTTCCTCACATATTTGTCAGAAATTATCAATAAACTAAACTTCTTAGTATATCTGTAATTGCCTACATTATATTTTCGTTCTAGGCCCACACTAGGCTCTTGGAACTATGAAAACCCCATACAGATTTGCAAAGCAAGGGCTATCCTAAAATGCCCGATAGGAAAAAAAGTGCCTTTGAACAGCCAAAGTGATCAGAGGTAGCTGAATTCCCTTTTATTGACCTGGGGAGCTGTTCGTGACAGGTCTTAAAACAGGTTTTTAAGATGCAGCAAATTTGCTGAGCAGTTGCATCATTTCAAAGGGAAAAATGCATTAAAGATTTGACAATATAACATTCTGCAAGCTATAAAACAACAACTATAGTGGCAGTGTTAACCTTGAAATGTCATGTGTAGGAGGTGTGTTACAAGTGCACATTCATTCTGTATACTTACTCTTCCTTTTTTTTATCATCTTTTTTGTCATCTTTCTTTTCCTCTTTCTTTTCCTCCTTCTTTTCCTCTTTCTTTTCCTCTTTAACCTCTTTCTTTTCTTCCTTTTTGCTGTACAACATAATGTAAGACTTAGCAACATTACCAATTTTCTACTAGTGACGGGAGAGGATCAGTGGTACAAGAAACTACAAGGAACAGGAAACCAGGATGCTGGAGAGAGCAGGACAGGGTTTCTCTGGGCAGAACCATTCATCCAGCAGTAACTGGATAACAGGCTGAGGCTCTAGAACTAACAGCAGCACACAAGTAAAGCAGGTAACCAGCTGGCTGATTCTGTGTATTAGTCAGTCACGCTTTGTTGACCTTTTCATGTATCATGTACCAGGCTTGTTTTAATTAAACATTCCAGTTTGTCTCGCAGTGGTTTAACAAACTATCAAAAGTCTTGCCACATATGAACCTTCACAGTGCCTGCTGGACGCTTTAGTACTGATTAAATGAAATTAATCTGACTCTGATGAATCCAAATATCCTCTCCCAGTTCCTTAAAACCAAAATAGCCAGAAGTAATTAATTGTGGCTTGGAGAAGAATGCCAGCCAATACCTTTGAAGAAAGATTGAAAATGAAGAAAAAAAGAAGCGTCTCATTTCACTTAACTTTAGATCTCTACACATGATCTAGTCATTTTACACAAGCTTATACAATCAACACAATTAATGCAAATTATTTTAAATCCCTACATTAGAATGAGATGACTTGTGCCCTAACACTACCTTTTTTTTTTTTTCTCTCCATCAGCTATAAAGGGAAAATGGGTTGGCTAGTGCAGATGCAGGGGTCCACGTGTGATCAGCCAGTGATGCTCAAGCTGCTGTCTTTGCAATACTGTCACTGTATTCAAAGCCTGAGCATTAAGCAAGAAATTCTACCCCCTCTGAAATCAATCAGTTTTGCATTGACTTAATGGAGACAGGACTGCCTTCGGGTTTATTAAGTGTTATTCACACAATAAAATGCAATATATTTGGACATAAAACTTCTGTCATTATGTCTGCACATCACTACCATTCCACAGCATCTAGCACATACCAAAGCTGCAAGATTTTGCCCCAGATCTGCATCCCAGATATGTATTTCCCTAGAGTTCAGCTATACACAACTTTGAGATCATTAGAATATGATGAGCTAGATGTAAAGATGGATCTGATTTACCCTGTTCTTAGGTTTGTCTAACATAACCATAAGAAACATCATAACTGAAGAGAGCACCTCAAATCCAGACAAACTGTTTCATTCACCAAAACTGATTTCTACAAAACAGGCAGAAACTTCTGCTCAAGTCTCTCTGCCACTGGTTTCCTGGATCTTTTGTGGCTTTTTCAAATCAAATCTGCCACTAAAGCTCTTTCTAATATAGAAAACATGTGAGGATTTCATGATAAATTACCGTGCTTGGTACCTGATCTGAAACGTAATTTCCAGTTGCTGTTTTAAGCATTAACATACAGATCAAAGATACTTCAAATGTCTGGCCTCTTACTGGAAAGGAAGAACTGTGTGTAAACATAATTTCAATGGCTGCTGTCACTGTACATTCATGACCATTGTTAGGCAGAGAAAAGTAAGCAGAGATGGAGAATCAGTGAAAATCTCAGTGACAATAAACTTCAGAAGGAAATTTTGATAGTTCCAACTTTCTCCTACATTTTGTTTCGAAACAGCTATCTAATGCCAACGTCTATTTTTCCCTGGTTTAAGATCTCCTTCACACTGATCCATTGATTACAGGTACCCTTCATATGTGAGAATCCTACATTTCCTTGTTCTCAGCTCACCTCTCTTCTGAGGTAATGTTACCATGCTCCAGCTGCTTGTTGTCTAGCAGTAGAAATTACTCAAAGGAAAAGGCTGGCCATAATCCTCATGATGTCTTCTAAGATTTGAAAGCATCATCCACAGTTTCTCAGAGATAGGCACATGTAGGTCCTTTACACACTGAGAAACTCAAAGCTCCAACAATACCTGCAACTTGTTTTCTTCATCAGTGCTTTTGAATAAACTAGAATCCAGTAATTAATACAAGAGTTGTATGTACTTATCCTCTTTAATAGCACTACAGCGGCAATTATTCTGTATCTTCAGCACTGTAAAGAAACACTCATTTTCAGGCTGAGAAGACATATCTCCACCAGTCACTATAAAAACACTGTCGTAGTCTCTGAATGATTTACACCTTTCATCTGCCAAGTAATTTTCAGACTGTTACGAAGGCAGACACAAAGATGTTGCCTTCTTTGAGGAATAATGAAACACTGGCTAGATCAAAGTTTTGCCCAAGGTATATGTGTCACTTTCAGAAGTAAGATCAAAATGCATTTCCATTCTAAATGCTCCTTTGGGTCCTGACTAGTAAGCCAGGCCTCAGGTTTACTAAACCTTTTCTTTTTTTAATTTCAATCTAAATAAAATGCTGCCCATTTCTATCATTGTTCTCTGCACAATGATTTTCACTTTTATAAAAGTCATGAAACCAAATCAAAAAGTTGCTCTAGGAAAAGAAGACTTCTTGTTCAGATATATGCACACAGGTTTTGCAGTGTCATTTTAAATGTACACTATGCCGCTAGTCTGATGTATTTGGAGACAAAACCCAACAAATTCAGGAATATTTCTGACATGATTGGAAACTATCCTGATGTTTAAATCCTTTTTTTTTAAATCTGAAATGTAATGAAAGAAATTAACTATTGTCACGTAAAAGAAGAATTCTGCTGCTGGAGGTTACAATGCAGACGAGTTCTCCAAGATTTGTGATTGAAGACGTGCAACAAACATCAGTGTTGGGTGACTTTAAATTACAGTAGTCCTTCACCTTTTCAAGAAACTTCTCCTTGGAGGGATATTATGAGGTATCTTGTGAAACATATAGAAGAGATTCCAAAGGACAGCTTCTGTCAGAGCTGGTGTGGTGCCAGCCTCATTATATTGCCTAGCTGCTACTCACTCTACATCCACACTAGGAATGCCTGGCTAAGCTAAAACACACCTTTCAGAAAGATGCTCAGGTATCATGTAGACTTCACATACAAAGGTGGTTTTGGTACCCTGCTCAGAATTGACTTCTCATGTAACAACCTGAAATTACTGAGGGACTTGATCTGCAAAAAGGACTGGTATATTAACAGAGGAAAGACCCTTGTTAGAAAACGAACACATGGATCTCACTGAGAAACTGAATCATTGACAAATCATTGGCAATGCAGTAAATCAGCCAGCTGAAGTAGAGGAGGAGGACTAAATGCTCAGGTAGTTGAACTCACTCCTGGAGAGGGAAGGGCAATTTAAGAAAAAATGTAGTTCATGAGGAACATGAAGGATGTCTCCAGAACTGACAAAGCAAGAGCTTTCTCAGTAATTAAACTATGTACTTGGGAAGGTTTAGAAAGAGATAAGCAGAAGTCTACACCACGTATATTACTAGGCTGAAAAGGGAAAAAGAGAAGGAGCTAGTGACAAAGAGATGTTCAAAAGTTGCTGGTACTTACTCTTCATTCGTGTTGTTACTATAGTTGACATTAAAATTGGCCAAGGGCCAGTGACTGCAGCAAATTCAATAAAACACATTAAAGAGTGTAAAAGACTGGTACATTTAATACAAACATTACCAACATGACAGACTGACTTACTGGCATTTCACATATGTACTGGTAAGATTAGGAAGACCAACTTTGACTGCAATAACTCCCTCTGCATAAATACTTGAAGGCACCAATTTCTCTTTATCAAGTGCTGGGTATACATGGCTGTAACTGTATCCGATGTCTGAAGCTTGTTCTCATGGCCACACATACCACTATTTATAGCCTTGTACCCATTTGGCTGCTATTTTAAGCTTTCTTCAACCCTTTCAAGTCTTCTTTACATATGCATCGCCAAGGTAGCTGGACAAATAACAAGCACAGCCACGACTGCTGTGGAATTGAGCCCCAATGATAGCACAACTGGGAGTTACTGTCACATGGCAACAGTGTAAATCCACGAAGGCCAGGATGGACACTTCTAACCTCACCTCTTCTAATGGCCTTATAGAGAGGTTTGTTGGCCTGGGATCAATGCTGTCTTCTCTAATGACTTTTAATCTGCAGTTGCTACTGATCCAGAAGCCTGAAAAATCTCTTGGCTGCTGCCTTGAGTGACTAGAGGATAGCAGCCTAGCTAATACAACAAAATGCGTGAGAAATGCAGATTACTCTGCTCTTGAGCTGAATTTCTGAGGACCAGATCAAATGAAGATAGCAGGCTCTGCTGGTCCACCACAAATCAAGGTGACCTGTACTGCCATGCATTGCCCTTTAAAAGTTCTTCCTTTTATCTGAATTACTAGCTGAGATTTTGAAACAAATCTCAGATGACTGATGACTTGCCTACCTACTCAACCCAGCTATCCAAAAAGCTATGGAAACCTGTGCAACTTGGGACTCTGTTTCCCACTTTTAGTTGGAGCTTTATTTATATCTCTGAGTTATATTCTCATAAAGTAATTCATAAAGTCAAAAGACTGGAAACACATAAAGCTTTCTCTTGCAGGCCTCAGTCGATTTTTTAGGAAAAGCACTTAAGAGAACACTAAATTTGCCTTCCATAGCAAAGACTGAATATGTGCTGATGAGCTCAACCAGCGGTCAAAAGATTTTCCCATTTCTGCATCAGAAGCTTTCTGCAATGTTAACAGCTGAACTCTTGGGCAAGTATAACTAAACAACAAAGTATTCCACATGACTTCTTGTTTGGAGTTTCCTAGCACTACCTGCTAATGTGTGTAAAATGAATGATGGATGTCATGAGAAGTCACAGTTCTCAGCCTCCTGAATCCTTGAAGTGGGAACAGCATTCATCCTCAGTGCAGAGGAATTCTGCAACCACAACTTGGCAGGTCACACAGATGAATATAGCCTTTTATGAAAGGTTCTGAGACAGGAAGCCTGAAATAGAATTTTATTTCTAAGAAATTGCTCTGCCCCAAGCAGCATGATCAAAACCCTCCACTTCAAGATCTCTGCCAAGCTGCTTTTGAGGGAGAATGAAAAGTCTGCTGAAAGCTGCAATACTTAAGTTATGTGGAGATTCCTGAGCTGCATTAGATACCCTGTTCATCTCTCAGGCTAAACTCCATATTAAACTCTCTATATAAAAATAAAGCTCTTACCCTGATCACGAAGAAAAAAGTACAAACGCATCTTCTTACCTGTTCACTTTCCCAGGCTGCTCATCAACACCCACACTGGAGTGGATTTTATTTTGCCTGCTGGACACTTCTATGAATGTTGGCCCTCTGATACGCTCCAGGAAAGAATCAGGTCTTTGGTCTTCATGATGCAAATGTCTCGTGGCCCATGACCTCAGAGATACAACAAATTGTGAAACCCTGCAAGGAACAGACATGCAACATCATTGACTAAACCAGACAAGAAAAATGGATAATGTAAGCCATTTCTACATAGAGTGCTCCAAGAGGATTTTCCTCCATTTTTACACCTCATATAGGAATGGAGCTTCATGGATTCACACAGTCACTTCTCAGAGCTTCATATATCACCTTTCACAGTAACTCACACATCACTCCCTAGTCCACTGTTTCAGAACTGCAGGAGCAAGAGACTATTATTGATATAAATGCAGGTTATCAAGTGGTTGGGATGGGGAAGTTGATGAAAATCTCTGAAATTATGTAATAATGTGAGGAGCATAGAATTACATAAAAGAGACTTACAGGATCAAATACTTGAGGGCTGGTATATGCAGTGGAGACAGTTTCCTAACCCCAATACATAACTTTCCACCACGGGTGATATTCACATGCTGTGTCCCAGACTATGTATTCTTCTGGGCAGACAATACAACCCATTCACCACTGTCTCTAACACACTGTGTGTATTTCCAAACATTAACAACAAGAGGAGAACAAATCCTTCACGAGAACCATTAATTGACTGTTGCATAAAAAGAACCATTTCCTAATCCTAAATTTCTAGTAAAACACTAAAATAAAATGAAATGTGCAAAAAAGATGGTATTTATTTATTATTATGCTTCTTTCTCTGTTCCCTCTAACTCACATCATGAATTCTTTTTTTTTGAAAAAGTTCAAAAATAAATGACATTTGTGGAAAATTCAAAATAATGGACACCAAAATGTATAACATGGATGTGATTTACCACCAAAATAATATTCTGTATTATTTCCCATAAGCAGCCCAATTTGGATGGAGTAGTATTATTTCAGTTTCCCACACCTAGCCTTAGAAATACAATGAAATACTGACCAACTTCTCAAAGAGTTTTTGGGCTTCTTAAGGAAATCCCTTTATATTTGCTCAGTCCTGGTTAATAACATTTGTAGCAAGAATCCACAGAGAGGCCTGTGAAGATATGACCAACTTAAGTCCTATAACAAAGTATAGCTACTTCTGGAGTGCAGTTCTCAAGAGTCTAACACCACAGCATGTCAAAAGCCCAGCCCAAAATCTCTTACTTTGAGATGAAAGAACATCAAAATAAAGGAATATCACATATCAGAAATCAGAAAAAGCTATTTCTAGATCCTCATCCCTACACTGAGACATTATCATACAAATCATCTAATATTTTCAACAAGAGAATTCAAGGCCTACCGAAGACACAAAAGAAAAACATAATATTCCACATGAAAGTCAGAGGTTCCTAGATTCATCATCATATTGAAAGAAAGCTGCAAAAATAAAACTAACCTCCAGAATCTTTCTCTGCCTGTGGACTTCCACTTTCACTTAAGGAATCATAAGAAAAACTATTAATAAGAATGTTATTAATTATATTAGAAAGTCCCCAGATCCATTAGTTAAAGAGTCAAACAAGTTTTACAAACTTAGAGTAAGAGCTTCTCTACATGAACAATGAAATACTCCTTTCTGATTTCTGTCATGGCATATTATTTCCACCTTTTCTGTCTTTTCTATCACAAATCCTGAGTCAAATGCACAAAACGATGTTGTTTTAGGTCCTCGAGCATTTGCATTCAATAGGCATATTACATTGCCATGACATCTGAACTGCTAGGCATTCAAGTTTTCATCAGACTTCCTTGTAGTTTTTGAGCATAAGTAATTCTAGCTGTACATATACTTAATTCAAACTGTTCTGAAAAGGAATAAAGAATAGTAATATAAACAAGGAATTAAAAGGAGTGCTCAATCATAGTTTATATATATGTGTGTATATATATAGACACACACATATATGCTTGTGTATATCATAACATACATGCGCACACACACACACAAACATACAT